CGGTCTTTTTTGTACGGACCGAGCGCAGCTCGGTCCGTACTGTCAAGATCTCGGGCCTATATTCTCCCAGTACGGCCCTCGCGCTTGGTTAATAAGATATATTTGCTGGTCAAAGAGCTCAAATAGATTGGGTAACCCAGTTACTCGACGAGGATACTCCCACTCCAGCTGCCCTAGTAGAGATGTTCAACTCCTTTTTGTCTGCCCTTATATCACATTTCACTCCCCCTAGACACCACATGTGTTGACCTCGATCATAACCCTGATGTCCCAAGCGAGTTCCTTGTTGATGTCTTTAGCTGCTATAAAGCCCTGCGCCGAGTCAAGAATAAAAAATCGCCTGGACCTTCAACGGTTCCTAATAAGATCTGGAAGGAATCTGCTTTTGAACTCGCTCGGTAGTTACTGACATTTATGATGCCTCGTTAAGGCAAGGATTCATCCCTTATCAGATCAAAGAGTCGTTAGTCGCACCCCTCCCGAAATATTCACCACCTAAATGTATTAAGAATGATTTAAGGCCAGTTACCTTAACTTCTCAAATAGCTAAAATATTTGAGGGTTTCACGTTAGCCCCCCTATTTAATCAGGTCTTCGATAAAATTGAGCTAAAACAGTTTGTTCTTCCAGGCAGGTCAACCACGCATGCGCTCGTTTACTTGCTACATTGTATCCCAGAAGCGCTTGACAATGGCTATTGCTATGCACGTATTTTGTTTACTGATTTTAGCAAAGGATTTGACCTGGTGGATCATTCTGTTTGGGTATCTGAGCTTTGTGATTTAGGGGTACATGAGGCCTTAATAAGATGGATTGGGGGCTTTTTTGACGGGTAGGTCGCAATAAGTCAAAATTGGTTGTGCTCTCTCCAACAGCGTTATTCCAAGGGGCGGTATTCCTCAGGGGACAAGACTAGCCCCTCTGTTTTTCCCAGTCCTCGTCAATAATCTAGAGAAGGACTGGAAAACTAGAGTTAAGTATGTAGATGATTTTTCAGTCTTAGAGATTATTCCTAGATGTTCAACCAGCATGTTGCCCTTTGTAGCGAGGGATATTTGTTTATATGCTAGTAGTCATGGTATGAAGCTAAACCCATCCAAATGTAAAGAACTAGGCATAGATTTCTTACAGTATAAGCCCTCGGATCTACCCCCCTTACAGATGTCAGGCAGTGTTATTGAGCAGGTGTCATCTTATAAGTTACTCGGTGTTCATCTGTCACACAATTTGGCATCATGGTCCATTCACTGCGACTATATTGTGAAGAAAGCATGCAAGCGGCTCTATGCGTTACGAGCCTTAAGGAAATCATGCCTCCCAACAGCAGATCTCATTCAGGTTTTTTGTAGCCGGGTACGGCCCATTTTAGAATTTGCATCTCCAGTGTGGGCCGCGTTACCCGCCGGTCTGGTTCAGTTGGTGGAAAGCGTTCAGATGGTTGCACTGAGAATCATACTTCCAGATTTCTCTTATGAGTCAGAACAGACCGCCTTAGTAAGTTCGTTACTCACAGTTACAATAGAGCTTAATAGTTTTTGCTTGTTATGCCAAGTGTATTGTGTTCTGTGTAGAATTGAATGAATTTTATTGTCTCCCTTGTAATTTAGTGTTTAACACTACCAAAGGGTTAAATAAACTGATAATTTATTTATTTATAAATTTATTTATTTGTATAGGTAATCACATGATTTCGAGTGCAATTTGGTATAAATAAGCACGAGTAAATTTTTTCAAAGACTAACAAAATTGCATGAGCCCGTAGGGCGAGTGCAATTTGTGGTCTTTGAAAAATTTACAAGTGCTTATTTATTCCAAATTGCATGAGAAAATCATGTGATTATCTATTAATAATATACATGAAAAAMTACGAGGTAGCTTCTCATAACTACGCAGAAGAAAAGCGCGCGCATCACGTGCAAAAATAATTTATTCAAACCCTGCAAGTGACATTGACCTTGACATTGACCTTGAAATTGGCCTTGACATTGACCTTGACATGGACATTGACCAATCGTTCTGACCAATCAGAATGCCTGGTTTGTTTCTTTCTTTGCACTGAATTAACCCTCTTCTGCACTGAATTAACTGAAAACTGCATTCATCTTAACCAATCAGAACTGAGAAAGTTTTGCATGTATATTATTAATTTACAGATGAGATCAGTGTTAAATTGTTGGCCTCTTCCTTCTTAGTTTTGTTATTTCTAGCCCCAGGATTGATATTTTTTTCAGCATCATCCTTGTCCATTTTCTACTATATCTCATATCGGTTTGTAAACAGTTCAGGTTTGTTTGCCTCCATCTCCACTGTTTTTCTTATACGAAAAATCTCTTTATCATCTGGTTTACTAGACAGGGTGAGAAACGGTTGGTGTGCAATTGACGTCGTATGTTTTAACGGATTATTGGTCTCAAATTATTACCAAGGAGCTGGTCAAGCCCATGACTGATCGTTATGCAAGAATTAGAAAATATGATTTCGTGTGTAAACCGTGATTTGAACAACGTGTTTAAGTGTTATATAACATATAGTGCGTGATATCACGCTTGAGCTATGTGTGGTATTATTGGTCGATAACGTTACGACATTCAACGTAAGATCCCACACTTTGAGCTGCTTCTTGGAGGCTCATAAACCCTAGTGGTGTCTCAGTTGATCTCGACGAGATATTTAAAAAAAAAAACCATTACAACGTGGACAATCAGTGCGTTAGCCTTGGAAAAATATTTATTTGGTTGTTGCCATGGCTTCCACTAAATTTAGCTTCACTCACTTGCCAAACATCTATATAAAAAATGTACTATATGAACTTGGTATTACACAACGATTCCTGGCTAAGGGACACTCACAAAACAAGCGAACGTTTGCTTTTTAGCTGAAAACAAGGCGAACAAGGAGCAATCGATCCATGCAAGGTATGAAATTATCGCTGTGCGAATGAAGAGGGGTAGAACTGATAATTAAAATCGAAATCTTCACAACTTAGGAACAATTCGCTCGATTTTCTCGACATTTTCTTCCTTGAATATCCTCCACGATAATTCTAAAATAAGGGG